GCTCCCTCCTGTCAAAGGGCCGGCACCAGCGGAGCGCCGCGGTGCACGCCGGGAGGAACGCCTCGTGCGCCTGCGCCGGATCCGTGCGCCTGCGCACTGACGCCACCCGCCTCGGTCTCCAGGCCCCGCCCCCGTGTGACGTCAAAACACCGCCCCCTTGTGAGGTCACACAGCCGGCGGCTCCGCCCTCCCGTTTCCACCTGGGGCTCTTCCATCCGCGCCCCGCCTGGGGCGGGGGCGTCGCGATGAAGCGGGACAAGCTCAAGGTGGGCCCCAGTGGAGCAGGTGAGGCGGGACCAGGTGGGATGGCAGGTGAGGAGCAGAGCCAGGCCGAGCGCGGGCAGAGAGCCCGGGGACCCTCACCCCTAGCGCGGGGTGGCCCCAGGTTCACCCCTTCCCAACTTTGTACTTTCTAGATCGTGCCCCGGACCCGGCTTACCCTACGGGCCGGCCTGGCCAACTCCAACGTCACCTCCAGAGCGGCGAGTTCGACCAGCTGCGGGACTTCACCATCTTTGAGAGCAACTTCGTGCAGGTGTGGAGACCCCGGACGCCCCGCCCCTGCACCCCAGCCTCAGACCTCTCACCTCATGACTTGGGGAACCTCTGTACCCCTCCTTCCGACCACACCCACATAAGGACCATCTCTAGGATTCTTCTAACTCCTCCTCCTCTATTATCCCTGACCTCCCCTCTCCAGTGTCTAGACCCTTAGCTGGTCTATACGTCTGACCCAGTCCCATTAGCTTCCGGCTATAACCTCGACCTTGGCCCCGGGATGTCTGATCTTACCCAAATGTTTAACTTAGTCCGTCTCATGATCTTGAACTATACCAAGACATTCCAGACTCCGCCGTGACTTGCTGGAGCATTCCCCTCTATCTCGCCAATAATAACCTATGACCTCTGGTCCCAGGTCACCCGGTTAGGAGAAGTCGCCAACAAGGTCACCATGGGAGTGGCAGCTTCCAGCCCAGCCCTGGAACTCCCAGACCTGTTACTGCTCGCCGGCCCCACCAAGGAGAATGGAAACCTACAGCTCTTTGGGTGATTAGCCCCATCCTGCCCTCCTCCCTGTACCACCTCTCACCCAGACAACCCTTCCGATCCAGAGCCTTGGGTGGCTGCTACTTCTGTCTGAGCTGATGACCACCCCTAGGAAAACCAGAACCGAGCCAGCCCCCGGGGCTAGAAAGCAAGTCTTGGATATCTAGATGTGAGACGGCAGTGGTGGGTGAGGGATCCTCCCCTTCCATGCTGAAGTTGGGTTTGACTCCCACCCTTTGCCCGCATTTACAGCCATGAGCCATCTGTCAGTGGGGCCTAACGGGTTGCTGGAATGCCGAAAACGTTTTAGCGGAGCTTCTAGAACAGTGGTTCTCAACCTTCCTAATGCCGCAACCCTTGAGACAGTTCCTCATGTGGTGGTGACCCCCCCCCC